AAATATTATTAAAAAATTATTAAATATCATAAAAAATTATAGAAATATCATTAAGAAGTGTAGGCAATGCAAGGATCTAAAATTAGTAGAAATGAGAAGATTTTGGAAGTTCAAAATGGTAAAGAAATGATACATGGCCAAAAGATCAATTTTCTAAAGCAAGGTTGATAAGGCGTCCAACATAATGATAGAAGATATTAGAATTGTTTTGCAAATGATTTTTTTTTTTTTTCTTCTAAATTCAAGAAAAAAGATCATTTTTAGAATAGACTTTAAGCTTCTTTAATGTATTATGGAGTTTTAAATTTCCATTAATATAATTGGATAGAAGATGACTATTAATTAAGACTAATTTTGAAAAAATTTAAAAAATTATATTAATTGAAGGCAATAAATTACAAAAATATTTGACGGTATTAAAGACCTTTGATGAAGAATAAATTATATTTACAATGTATGATAGAATTTATACAAAAGAAACAAATATAATTAAAATAATACAAAATATTTAAAATTATTCTTTAATATCTAAGTAGTTGATAGAGATAAATTTAGACAAATTCAATGATGTAAACATTAAAGATAAGATAAGTAAAAAAATATAATATAAATAATTGACTTAATATTATTTTAATATTTTATTTTATTTAAAATATGTTTATAATTAATAAGTTATACATTTCTATTATTTAGATAATTCTATACATTTCTATATTATATATTTCTATTATTTAGATAACAAGTTTTTTTAGAATGATTGAAATAATATATATATATATATATATATTTATTTATTTAAAGATGTGATTAAGAAAGTAAAAATAAAAAAATTATTTAGAGGATATATAAAAGGTTAAGTTTCTATTACATAATTCTAACTTTTAGTAACTAAAACTTCAATCTATCAAGTATTGAAGAAGAAGGTAAAAAAAAAGTAATTTTCTTCAACACTATAGTACAATTTTAGATATTTTTACAAATATCTAAAATTATTTTTACAAAATATCTAAAATTTTAGATATTTTTCAACACTAAATTAAAATTTTAGATATTTTCTTAAACTTTAGGTTGTAAAACCTCAAAGATTACCTTCTACAAATATTATCTTCTCTCAATGCACCAAGAAAATATAACAAATATACTTAAATTCGTGGAAGTATCATACATTGTAAGAAATTGGATATAAATTAATATCATGATATTTATTTTATAATACTTATAATTATTTGCTTGTAGGCAAAATAGGCAAGATATTAGAGGCTCTAAAAAAACCATTATTCTTAATAAAGAAATTAAGGATGGGCATCAAAGTAATCATAACACATTAATAAAGATAGAATGACAATTAAAAGAATTTATTGTCAAGCGAAGTAGAGATGAAACTCCTTTAAATTAAATATAGAATTGTACTGAAGAGAATCATTCAGATTAAAATTGAAAAAATTGAAAAAAATATAATATTATAATAAAAAATATTAAAATTATTGGCAAAGAAGCAAGATGTGAGATGAATACCAGCTGCAATCTTCTCAGTAAAGGTACAAAATAAACTCAAGTACACATAATAAAGTATAAAGTAGAAGTGATTAAGTAAAAAAAACAAAATACAAGGCTTTATTTGAATCAGCTATATACAAGAATAAGCTTGTAAAGAACATTGACAAAGCGTCAATAATACAAAGAGTGATTTGATAGAGGTATCAAGTTTAGAAATATAACAATGTGGTCTCAAAAACTTCTTGAATATTTTTGTAAATCAAATTGAAGAAAAAAAACAAGCTAAAGAATAATCAAGAGAAAATGTGACATTTGACATTTAAAACTTTGTTTAAAACAATCTAAAAAGAAAATAAGATTGAAGCACAAAAGAATCAAGATTCAATAAATTGAGATTTTTTTATGTGTGCACATTAAGGTGCAAATGAGCTAAGTGTTGGTGAATTGAATTTTTCTTATAAATGAGCTAGGAGATGCACTATGAGGTGTGCAAAAAGCTAGAAGTAGAAAATCATCTCTTCTTCTTTCAAAGTAATTAATAATAGCAGCTTTACGGTTGAAACAACCCAAGTGTTTTCTTCTATATATATTGTTAAATTATTTTATTTTATAAGACATAATAATTTACTACCTTGTGGTGTTTAATTTTATATCCAAAAAGAATATATATATATATATATATATATATATTAAAAAAACACACACACATTAAAATTCTTTTTATTCACTGTAAACATGGTGTAATTTGTTGCTAGTTAATATTTTTATTTTTTCAGTTAATTCTTAAAATTATTTTTATTAAAATTTTTGAAATTAATGTTACTAAGATTTCTTTTAAGTTTTAGATTTTATACATTTTACATAATTAAGGTTTGAAAAATATATTTAAAATTCGAAGTTAAAATTAAAAATTATTAGAATTTTTTGAAATTATAATTTTCTATTAATATTTATAAATTGTTTATGGATTTTTAGAATTTGTTTCATTTAGAAGTTTTTAGGATTTTTTTGCATTAGAATTTATATTAAATTGTAAATATATTAAATTGTAAATATATTAAATTGTAAATATATTAAATTGTAAATATATTAAATTGTAAATATATTAAATTGTAAATACATTAAATTGTAAATATATTAAATTGTAAATATATTAAATTGTAAATATATTAAATTGTAAATATATTAAATTGTAAATATATTAAATTGTAAATATATTAAATTGTAAATATAATAAATTGTAAATATATTAAATTGTAAATATATTAAATTGTAAATATATTAAATTGTAAATATAATAAATGGTAAATATATTAAATTGTAAATGTATGAGGTACTAGGATTATGAAGCATTAAAAGAATTTTAATGAGTGTATTTTAAATATGAGAATTTATAAGTTATTATGGAGTATATCAATTATTAATGTCATTAAAAAACAACTTATAATCTTTGGTATTTACAACCAATATATATATATATATATATGTATATATATATATATTTATATATTATATTTATTTCTTATTTAATAATACATATTCTAATTCTTCAATGATAAAACTTCTTACTATCTTACTTATATAATCTTATCTTTTTGACTTGTTAACTTTTGAAAAGTCAAAAATATCAAATTATATATGATAACTATAATTGATAAAAAATTAGTGTTATTATTACATTTTTTTTATTAATGTAAGAATCAATACATTTAACCTTAATAAAAACTAAGATCGTTGGTCAAATATAGTATTAGTTAGAAGTTTATAATATTAATAAATGTTACTTAAGAAAAATAAATATTTCTTTAAATAAGTAATAATTTTTTTATAAGGTACAAAACATGACAATGTAGTTAAATAATCCACATAAAAAATATACAACCATAAGAAAATAAAATTATAAAGGTTGTAATAAAATATTTTAAAATATATTACTATGATTATTTTAAGATAGATAACTTTTAAAGAAGTCTATACCACCAAAAATCTCTCGACATAAGTTTCAAAGCTTTATTGTATCAAAAATGTCATGTTATTGGTAAGTTATGTCACATTTAGAAGTTATATAATTGCCATAAATCTTTTGGAATATATAAATTTTATTTATAATTTATAATTTATTTTTTTGAGATTAAATTTGTTTAAATCATCAAGTACAAAAAGATTTGTTGACATATTGAAACAAACTTCATAAAAAATAGTTTGTAAGTACATAATTATATCATGGTATTGTAAAATATCTTTCTTTATTAAAGATGGGCTCTTATACACTTAATTTATGCCATCAATTCTTTTGTTTCTTTGTTTTAAACTGAGCCCTTACATTATCTTGTTACAAAGTATACATTGCATGGTTTTTCTTCTGTAATAAGTTCGTTGCTTGTTTGACCTCAAACAAGAAAATCATCCATTTGAAGCCTATATGCTTCTTCAAAATTTCAAGCACTTTTTAACCTTTTATTTTTAAAGAAAAATAATGTATTGGTAGATTAAAACATGGCAATTTAAAACTCATAAATTCTGCATAAATTTTAATAGATCCATACAAAATAAAAAAATAAAAATGTGCAAACAAAGTGTAAACACTTGAACCTCAAAGGTTCAACACCTTCAAACCTCCACTTGAAGTGCATGTAACTAATACCCAATCAAAATACTTTTTCATCTCTTCAGCTTTTTATCCCCATCCCAACACATCTACATAATAAAACAATTTAGGTATAAAATAAAGACATAAAGAAGCCTTCTTATTGGCCAAATTTAATGAAGTTGTTACTAACAAAAACGTTGCATAACTTGTAGAAAGACCTTCAATTTACTATTTATAAACTAGATCATTTTATAGCTTTTCCATGCCCAAGGGCACGGATTTCCACTAATATTACATAAAAACTACAAACAAATCTGGTCAGTTCATGGTTCTCCACTGTTCCCAACTGTTCCCTTGCATGGGCACAGCCCAGGAATTATGGGAACACCGGAGGATGCGAGGCGGCGGCGGCGCTGGCGTTTAATTTGTGGAGAAGTTGTCGCGATGGTGATCGTCGTCGTCGTCATCGTAATTGAAGCACGCAACATGACCCACTCAATATCACGGCCAAGTCGGCGAATGTGTGCTGCAGTCGAATCGAAGCTGAGCACTGGATTCCACCTCTTTGCATCCGGACCGTCATAAACATTCATACTCAAGAGTGAATAGAATCTCCCCGCACACTCCCCGAGTCTGGTCCTCGTCCCATCATCTCAAGAATAACTGGCTCCAAATCGGCTGGTTGGTGGGGTTTCTCTACGCAATCGGCGACGATCTCAGCTCGCTCACGCTTCGCCCATGAGCGGGATGGGCGTGGAAATGAGCGTGCGAGAGCCAGGATTATGTTCTCCCAGGTGGGTCCCTGCTGCTGCCCCCAATTGAACCACCCATCAATCAGGGAAGACGCAACTTGCCACTACGCAGAAACTCCTACTCCTACTTCTCTCCCCTCCCTTGAAATTAATCAGTTGCGTGAAGCGAAGGCCGATTCTCTGTCAATGATGTGTATCGAACACTTTACTATTTTTCTTCTGTGTCATGGGTTCCTTGTTCCGTTTTACGTCTCGTGCTGCACTCATTGGATCGGCTGTTGGGGGCTGAATCTTGCAGATGCGGTGATCTTAGTGGAGTGCACTCCTCGTGCATAGCCAGGGCCTTGTTCGGCTAATGTACTCCTTCTGTCTCTTTTTTTTCTTTTATTTTGTTCTGTTTTTGTTGTTGTTTTGTTTAGTTTTTTCTTGCGGCTTCCGCGTTGTCCTATTGTTGGCGGGTGATATAGGAGGCCATGGCCATTTTGGGTGTCGTCAGTGAGTTTGCGGTGCAACCAAGCTCATAGTCCAATTTTTTCTTGAAATTGGTTTTTTCGCGGTTGGGTGAGTCAAAAAGGAAGTGGGATTGGACTTGGTTTCAGCATGGGGGGAGTCAATGAGAAGGCAGAGTGAGTATCTAGCGATTGGCGGCGGCTGGGGAGGGACAGGGCGAGGACCGAAGGCGTCGCATAGATTCGAAGATGAAACCAGGATGGAATTTTTTATGCTGGTTTGCTGGCGCAGTGTGTAGACGCCTGATTCGGTGGATTGAGAATTGCTTGAACGCGGCTGTCATCGTTGCAGATGCGCTCCGCGAGGGCGATATTGAACTCCTTCGAGTTGCTTAGACCACGCCAGTGAGTTTCCTGAACTTGAAATGCTCAATGCAAACTATTCCTGTGTAGATATATCGCTGTGTCTTTCTAACAGATTCTTATATTTTCTGAATGGCGTGTTTGATTTCAGCTTTTCTTGACGTACAGTGTGTGCTTGATAGAGTTAAATTATGACAACGCATTAGGTAAGATAGTTATGCTTCTTAATTGGAGGGTAAATGGTCCATCATCCTCCGTCACGAAACTGTATTGAACTCTGGATGGTTATCACACCACATTGGTATGCACTGCCCCCTCCTGAGTGAAATCAAGCAATTAATGGTATTCGTGTTCGACACCTCTTGGTAGATACTAAACTTTTACCTACACTCTTTCATTTGTTTTCTCCTCTGGTCACTGTTCTGTCAACGGCGAGAGCGTCCATGATCCCATGAATGGAGACATTTTGTCAGCTTGTATCCATTAGGTTTGTCCTGCTGTCAATTGCATCGTAGAAACCGTACGTGTGCTAAGAACATTTCACTCTGTGTTCCAATACGTCTTCTTTTCTTTTTCTTTTTCTTTTCTCTGTGTGTGGGTGTTAGAAACATTTCACTCTGCACAGAAGGATGGTTTTCCACATTTAGTTTGCCTCTATTTGATCTCAAACTTCATGAGGACCACATTCAAATGTACTGACCTCTAATCTCTGTTGTTTATGTCTTCTCGATAGGCTGTCGGCAAGATGCACATTGCACCAGGTCCAAGAGCCCTTTGCTTCCTGAGGGCGAGACTTCGTAGAATACGTGACGAGATGGAGTCCTAACATCATCAAAAACTTGCAGCCAGCGAAACTTGAAGCCTTGTTGGCTATGTGCGACTATGACGAGGACAGAGGATAGGTGAAATGCTTGAGAATAGAGGGCTGGTCTGGCACCGGTCGATATGCCTCAACGAGGCTTGTCTATTGTTTCAGACGGAAGACAAGGAAGCTGTAGTACCTACCACCAAAGCTCACTGCTATATTTTAACAGCATCGAGCACAATATTCTTCAAATTTATTCATCTCGACCCTGCAACCAATTAAATTAACGATTTATATTGTAGGGTGGTGGCTGTGACAGGCATGTGTAGAACTCGGCAAATTTAGTGTCGTAGTAGGCTGGTCAGTGGCCTGTGGATTAAACGCAGCTTTGATTCCTTAGAACACACCAATTTTTATAGTAGGTTGATAAAATTCATTCTGAAAAGTCGTGATTCTTTCATTTCTATTGGTGTGGACACGCCCCCTTATGTGAGATGTTTGATGCTCTCCGTGTTTGAGTATATTATCGAGAACCTTCAAACGAACCCTGCGAACTTCAAGTAGAAAGAACCGCAGTAGATTTTTACGTCTTTGGGAAGATGGCAACTGGTGGATACTTGGAAGATTGCATACTACCTCTTGCATAGATCTTCAGTGTTCCTAGCCAATTTTGACCAAGCGTCACTCTTACAGGAAAAGAACTACCGTCAGACATTGCAACTGTTATGCTTCCAATGTGCACAATTAGAAAAGAGAGAAAAATCTCTACTGAATCTCAGCAGCCTTTTATTCAGGAAGCTTCCAAATACGTCTCTGCACGCTGAAATGTTCCGCATTCAATTAACAACTAATGAAATTACATAATGCCCTTCATCGCCACAGCAACTTGAGCCTTAAGACACGGTGACGAAAATGAGGTGGAAGTATCAAGTTGGCAGGAGAGAGATTGAATCTCTTATTTTGGTTCTGGTTCAAATTGTGGCCAATCATAACATTGAGAAGATTTCATCAACTCAGCATCAATGGGGGGCAAAAGAGCAGCTTAGAACACATTCATGTAACACAGCCCAGCATGTACTTGAAAAATCAGGATAAAATCCGGACCGAACTCAGAACGTCGACAGCAGCTAAAGCGTGAAATCAGCGCAGCACGAAAGCGAGTTTTCGGTCATGAAAAACTACTATCCATGGAGGCAAAACCCTTGAATCGCGGATGTGAAAGAGAGGAAGATCTACACTTTGGAACCCAAATGTGAACTTACTCCCTGTTTCCGGTTCCGATCTTTTCAGGTCGTCATGGATCACAGAGGCCTTACGTACTGACAACCGCCCCTCCCGTCTTTCAATGATTCGGTCAGGGAGGAGAGGAGGGGCAACACCCGTACCTCCGCAATCTCCTGTCAAAACTTAATTCCAACTGCACGGCGCGAAGTACAAAAGCAACGCATGGAGCAGTTTTTTCCCAGATGCCTGCAAATAAGCCCCTCTCTCCCTCTCTCCCTCTCTCTCACTCACTCTCTCACTCTCTCCCCTCATCCACTGAGGCTGCAACTCCATTGATGCACCTTATGTGGACAGGGATGGCGCTCAATTAGCTGTCCTCGAGTACCGCAGCTCCTTTCATGGAATAGCCCACTCAAAGTACTTTCTCTTTCTTCACAGTATCGGCTCATTCAAATCGCATTCTAAGAAGCGAGTACCGTCTTCCTCCAGTATATATATATATATATATATATGTATATATATGTATCCACACACACTCACTCACTCACACACACACACACACATGCTCAGTGTAGTGATTGGGTTAGTTCAAACTCTGCCTTACTTAGTGCATTTGACTGGTCCCATTCAGAGGTACGAGAGGATCTGTACGCAGCGCCTGGCTTTGAGGCTTCGGTTTCACGATCTGTGCTTTGCCTTGAGCTGGGTTGGTGACGACGCATGCTTGAAGAGTCAGAGGGCGATAATGAGACGGCGAGGAATACTTAAAACCAAGCTAATGCATGAGGAGGGAGTGGGGGTTAGGGCAGCCGGAAAATTAGTTGTTTGTTTCCGGGCAGTGGGATTATTTTTGTGATTGTGTGTGTGTTTGTGGGGGGGGGGGGTGTGGCTTGTGTGCCCACTGTAAAGTTTAATAGTAAAACTTTGAATAGAGGATGAAGGATGTGCAATTATTACTGAGACTTTCTCGTGGTGTATTGGGCAAGGTACTGCGACTATGGACCCTGGATGACAGTGAAACCTCACAGTAACATAGAATTTTTTATATTCAACTGTCTCTCTGGCTACTTCACAAGGGATCAGGAATGCCCATGTTTGGGAACGATAGATCATCCAATGGGAACTCCACTTGCTGACACACCTGGAACTATTCCAATGACATCTCTACATCCATTACTTTCTTTCTTGTGGAATGGTGTAATTGAAAAATAAATAAATAAATAAATAAAAATGTAAGCTCTCTCACTGCAAAAGTATGCATGTTACTATACATGTGCAAATCATGTATAATAACAGATATGTGCTCATGTTTTTTGCTCCTTTTTTTGAAGTGAGTGGTATCGAGAACCACGAAGTAAAAATGAATGTACTTTTGTGAGAAATACACTTGTTTTTATTTGGTAGCGAAATAACTTTGTTCATCGAATTGTTGACTATAAGAATTGGATCCGGAACTGGGCACAAAGTATTTTTAGGACGTCAAAAATTGCCGTGGTCTGCAAGAAATTGTCTGTGAGCAATTCGGCAAGAAATTTAGTGAAAGAGACTCAGTGCGCTCACAGCCAGTTGTGGGATGTGGGTATTTGTCAAGTCTGACAAGGCATATATGTCTGCAACAACAAACACACTTTCCTTAGCCAAAGTCGCTGTCCCCAAAAGGTCCTCAACCCCTGATTCAGGATTAGTTTGGCACGAGTTCCCATCCAGTATTGCCGGGAAATTTGAACTGGGAGCGAGAGGGGACTGGTTTTATTTCCGGGAAGGAGTCTCCTTCCTCCACTAGCAGAGGCTGAGGGCATGGAAAGCCGCGACGTGAGCTGGTTAGCAAGGAGAAGAAGTGTAGACTTCGAGGCACGTCATCTGTTTCCGTTTCCAGACAGGGAAAGCGCGGGGCTGTCTATCATCAATGCAAGGCTGCCTTATCAGAGCTACGACCCGCTTCTCGACTCTATTCATAATTTCCGCCCCCTTCATAGAGGACAACATGGATGGAATCTTTGCATCTGAAGACAGACAACGTATCAAACCAGGTTCAACGTCTCCGGATTCTGCAAGATTCTGGAGCTTTGGTACCGTTGAGTTCCAACATCAGCATTACTACACTGCAGACGCAAATGACTACTTCTGTCCACGATGGGCATAAAACCGCAACATTAAATTAGACATGAGGTATTGCTGGACTTTTGGCAAAAGTGAACAGAACTAAGTAACAAATTTGTATAGCAAGTCCAGGTCCGGGGATGCCAAAGAACCCCTGATTTTCAAGTCCTGAACGGTATTGTACAAATGATTCAGGGTTCCAAAAGAATATAAGTCGGTGTAGGGACTTGCCACACTGTACTTGGGGAGTGACAGGGCAGCTGAGAAAGACTCTATATAGGTGACGCTGTAAATTTTACACTCAGCTCAGTCCGCTCCACTAACTGCGAGACATCAGGCCCTGCCTCCTGATTGCTTGGTCTAGGATCCTTCTTGTATAATTCTTTGACAATAAGATCGTTCTGAGAGAAAAAAGAAAAAAATGTACATGCACTTTCCTCAGCAGAATCAATTTCTGAGCCAGCAAAAAATGGTTCTTCAGGCTCCTATAACGGGGATCTTGAAAGGGCATGGATTACATTCGCCCACTCTGCGCTACCTAACAGTTGGCCCCCTGAGGCCTCTACCCTCGAGTCTTCATGATGGTTATGGATCCCTTGCCTTCAGTGTGAAGCTTGATGCATTCCACCACAGCTTTTCCTGAGAGCCCGGATCCAGATTGGGTGGGGGATTTTTCTCCGTCCCTTGGAGGTTGACGACGTGAAGAACTTGGAGACGAAACCTTGATTCGCTGATTTATGTCGCTCAATGTGACGTCACCATGGGCACTACATGGTTTTACCAAATTAAATGGGTATGCTACAGGTGTTGCTTTCACTCGAAACCTTGTGAGCGGGCTGGGCATCCAACCTGCAACGCAGGCATGCTAGGTGCTCAGCAAAGCTTCTGAAACCCGACTTTGGAAATCTACTGGGATGAATAACCAGTCGAGAGGGAGAGGGAGAGAGTGTGGGAGGGAGAAAGAACGACGTACCAGGAGTAGAACCCTTGGAAAACGGAGTCAATGGCCCTTGTAAAACTTCGCCTTCGGATGATGGCGATGACTGCGCGGACATACCTGCAACAGAGAAGGATAAGCAACCTCCCTGCAAGCCTCATCAACTATAGAATTACTCAAAGCCGCTCACGACGACAAGGCAGGTTCAAAAGATCATTCAAGGTACCTGATCCTTCGCTGTGATTGGCGCTGCGTACCACAATCTTCCTGAAGCATCACATTCCATGCCACTCGACACAATCAATACCGTAGTTTCATCGGGTGTTGAGGGCTTAAACAGTCTAGACTCCAAGATGCCAACCAAGGACTTCAGTGTGCGGGTGGCTGCAAGGATTTGTTAACCTTCCATATGACTGAATCTTAAAACGGAAGTTCAAGAATGTGATTCCTTACGATTTTTCAGGTGGACTGTGGAGCTCTTTATGGTCCAGGCACTTCGACATCCACTTTTCGTCGGCACCTTTACCAGCTTCTTCTGAAATCGCATTGATTGTGGTTGGGGACTCCTTGGGGAACCAGATGTTACTAGGCGATGAGGGAACTGGCACCAAAAATTCCTCAGCTGCAGAAACTATTGGATTCACACAGCTCTGCCAAGTGCAATGACTATTAGGTGCTGGGGAATGATAGACTCAAAATAAATAAATAAACAATCGTTCACAAGAGACTCGCTAATCGAATGCTAGAGGAATGAGAGCAGTATCAAGACATAAATTTACCACAAAAGGCAAGTCATTGGCAGAACTAGATTCGAACGGAGGCGAGGAAGCTGGCACGCACTCCTCACCAGTGCCAGAGAAATGTAGCATTCGGCGCCTCTTAATTCGCCCGCAATTCTCATGAGCGTAGTTGCTTGGGCTGACACTGCCACTTTCTGTAGCAAACAATATAGTCAGCCTACAACTCCTTGGATTCCATGTTTAAGTCACTAACTGGTACCGAAGAGAAACATCGTCACAGGTAATGTACGATGTGGATGGACGCACAATCAATGCGATTTCAGAAGAAGCTCAATATTTGAATACCTGCCAAATCCACAATGGACTCAAAAAGTTCCATATAATTGGAAACAAGCATTGGCACTTCCAGCGATGACAACCATGGGAAAGAGAATGGTCGATACCTTGGCTACATTCCGCAAAGTACGAAGGACTTGACTCTCTTTCGTCCATGATCGGAGGGGTTTGGGCAAATAGTTGTTCATCATTCTGAGTCAAATCGTCCCAGAAGGACTTGGCGATTTCTGCAACTCAATGATTAAGAGAGTGCTGGACTCAGGAAACACAGAAACGCAAAGCAAGCATTTTAACAGACTAAAGTTGGTGACCTTTCCATGCTTGAATTCGCTAATACTCAGGGCAATTTCCATGTGTCTTACAGAAGCGACATACATAACTTTACATCTAAATTTTTACTCGGGAGGTGAGGAGAAAAGACCAGCAACAGAGAGGTAGATCAATCATTCAGACCTAAGTGTGATTCCGAGTCCAGCTTGAACGCTTCTTCTCGCCATATCCAACAATCGGGATTATCACTCACAATTATCCGACTTTCGATAGCAGTAAACTCTTCAAACGCGGTGTTCTCCATGGGTGTACACTTTTAGATAACGCCAAGAGCTGTGGAATTCCTATGTTAGACTTACACTCAAAAGCGATCCAGCTATCGCGAAAGCATCCTGTTAAAGCTCAAGAACAGTATGAGGATGTCAGGACTTGAAATACTATAGTAAATCCGACGAAGAAGTCAAAGTTTGACAGGACATAAGTTGAATTCGATAAAACGTCATTACAGGATAGGTAGGACCCTGGGGGGATAAAACGGAACGCAACTTCGAGTTTCGCCAGAGCAACGGGTAGAGAACTCATATGTACTAATAACACATTAGAGCGGAAACACGCCGCAACCAAACACAAATAGAAAAGTATAATTATTCGCAGACTAAACAAGGGAAAGGGGACCCAAAACGCCATTGCACCAATCGTTTGAGACATCAGTGTCAATCTCTTCGAGCATCCCTGCAACAGTTGTGTCATCGAGAATAAGGAACGTTCATGAGATAAAAACGGGGAGGTTTCAGCTCAGCAACTACGCGCTGGCACCGGCGCTACCCTACGAAAAATGGTGGGAAGTGAGGATCTAAGCACCTGACGTGGAGAAGCTTAGGCCTCAAGGCACGTAGATGTTAATGAAGCACGATCGCTAGTTGACAACACGAGGAGTGATTGCACTGGAAGACACATCCGACAGGAGGATATCATGAACATGAACAAGAAGTAAGAATCTGAGAACGTCATTGGTCACGCATCGAAACCGGCACCATTAGAACAACAGCACTACCCTACGTGGTGAAAGGGCAGCATAGAACTATCAAATACATTACGAACTTAGCGAGGGGGGGAAAGAATCGCGATAGCATATTATCTTCGAATGATTCAACTCTACAGGCCACCGAATGGAAGCGCAGGGTGAAGACAAGCGCAAAAGCAGACACAGCGGAGTTCAGAGACGTAACTCTGAACACTGAGAATACTTCCAAGAAGGGTCAGAAAGACCAATTCCACACCCACGAAGTGACCACAAAAATATTGCCTGGAGACCAATTTAACAAAAACACGACATCAACTCTGTGCAAGCTCGTCCAGGGGGGCCCAATCTTCGAAGTAAAAGAGCACGAATGTAATGAAAAGGAAGTAATCCTCCCTTCTCAGCTCCGCTCAGCCCCCCCAAAACTGACTCTCATCCGATCCTAATCCTAAACCAAGACGCTTCCCCGAGACACCGATCTCCAAACACTTCCGCCACGAAAACGGGTCTGTGCAAGAAACTATCTTACAAACCGCACAGAACACAAGTACTCCACATCGTAGATCCTATTAGTCACCAGAAGCAGACCTACATTCAATAGCCTTCACACCATAACCATCGCCTCCACTTCCCAATGCTCCAACTCTTCAACTCAACCTCAACTTCCACAATTCAACAAGCCTCACACCAACACACCTTCTTTGCTCCGCCTCTCACACTTCCAGCACATCCAACGTTCTGAAAAACTCCGAGGCGATCGCGCTGCCAAACCTATCATTCAGCAACTAATCGCTCTCGCGCCTCTGCACTAAATCCTCCTCAGAGGCACAAGGTCCGCAGCTGAACCAGAGGACTCCAACCCGTTGACGATTCATCCACGAACACTAACGAAATGCATCACTCAATCGGCAACTGAAACCGTGGTTTCCACCACGAACCTCCCTCCCAAACACAGAGGCTCCGCTCTCCCTCCCCTATACTTCCAGCGCACATTCAAAGCAACGAGAAAGATGAAGCCAAGGACAGAGCGCGGGCCAGGCCGGGGACAGGTCAACGGGAGCCCCCCGTCGCCCGTCGCCCGCCCCGCCACCTTACAAAAGACCCTACTCCCGCACTTTCCGTCATCCAATCTTCCCATGCACTCCCGTGGTTAGAGCACCCTTTAATTTTCCGTTACTCTCGCTCCCGCCACGAGAAAGCACCTCCAAGCCTATACCCGCCGCTACGCAAATTCGTTCTTTGCAATACATGAGAATGCTTTTCGGCTACACAAATAGGGGCACTTCCCGGGAGTGGCAAGATATGACGCAGGGCCACAGTGGTAGTTGCAAAATAACCGTCTCTTCCTGAATCCGGCATTGCAGGTGGCCCGGCAGATTCTTCAATTTCAGCCGGATGTCGTTATTTAAAGGCCTTTCATGGTGAGCGGTCATCTAAGCCAGTGCAATGTAGGTCCGAGATAGATTCGTTGGTGTTCTGTGGATTCTTTGTGAAGTAGGGTGAGGGCGGAGGAGGCGCACTTAAAGCGCCTAAAGCTGCGCCCTTCATGGCCGGTCGTCAATTCAGTGTTTGTGTTCGCATGATTTTTTCTGTTTTTTTGCTTTTTTACGACTGGGTCGGTTGGGTGGCTGCCTTCGGAAACCGTTAGTTTATTGAGGGTGGAGGATTTTGGTCTATTCGACTCGTATTGTTTAGTGCCCGCTGTGAAGGCTCTCGCGTACTCAATGAACCCCCACCCGCATCGAACTTGACGAAGAAACGGCTCATATGTCCGTTCGCCCGCAATAATCTCGCGGGATGGAATTGGTGGCCTGCCAGCCACGGCATCCTTACGTCGTTTATTCTGACTGAAACTCATCTCATTCATTCGTTCGCCCCATTTCATTCATCCATTCGTCTATTCATCCATGTGTATCATATTATCTTCCCAATGCCATTACACACACTAATTGTGGATTTCAATTCATGGAGTGTTTCATACAAACATTGTCTTCTTTTTTCTTTTTTTAGATAAATATATATAATTTGTTTACACAATTTTCTTTTTTCTTTTTTTTATTGTTGATTTTTCAAGATATTTTACCAGGGGAATGTTTTCAGCAAATATAAACTTTTGGCAGATGAAATACAATAAAATATCAAAAATATTGAAGTTTGCTGTTGGTGTGATTGCACAAAGAGCCTGAACCAGTTTTACTGGGATTGCACATAATATAGGCTTGCAAATCTACATGTTTTATCACTTGTAAATATGCATGATATTATATATATATATATATATATATGTATATGCTTGTGTGTGATTTATAATAGGCATTACAGTATTGAGTTAAATGGTTAGTTGATATTATGCTATGGATTAATTTGTAATCAATGTTCTGGTATTTAAATGTTCGAATACCTGATATTGTGATATTGATTGATAATCTGCAACACATATGAACTAGTAATCTCCTTTTTAGTTGTAACAGTTTCTTGTTATAGGCCTCAACATAGTATGTGTTTTAATGTCAATCTGAGCATTATTTCACTTGCAATAAATGCAAGTATTCTTGTTGTGATTACCATATTCTTCATCATGGGTAAGTCAATTTAGAAAAAACCTGAGTCTATTTAACATTCTCCTATAATCCACATGTTAACAATAACATTTCTTATTAATATATATATATATATATATATATATATGTATTAGCATCACAAAACATATTGTATATTATTTTTATTTTAAAAATCTTCTCTTTAAAGTGGCATGCATGTTCTTAAAATTTGACAAAAATCACATCAATGTCTTTTTCTATTTTAAATATATATGAAATTTTAATTTTAACTATTTTATAATTTGCAGCACGTGATTCTATCAAAAGTGATTATTTCTTATTTTAGACATGATATATATATATATATATATATATATATATATATATATATTTGTACAAAAATTGTCAAAATGACATGAAAAATATTAAACTATAAAATTTTATATTATAATTAATATAAAATTTTTCTATTTTTTATGGTTAATTATTATTTAAAAAATTAAAAAATAATTAAAAAATAATAATTAAAGTCTAATTAAATTTGAACAAATAATTTTAATCACATATATATATGTATATGTATATATATATATATATATATATATACATACATATAGATTTAAAGTTGTTATAATAATTTACTAGCCAAATGCATTATACTACTTTTTTTTTGTTACTAAATCATCTAGTTGTTTTAAACTTATGTCAAAATATTATAAGTTTATTTTTACTTTGGTATCATCATTAATTTTTTTAATAAATAAATAAAATTAATAAAGAATCAACTTTTATATCAATGAAGACATCATATACATTCAATTAATTTTTAAGAAATAACAATTTTATATCTACACCTATTAATAAATATTTTTCTTCATTATGTCTACTAAAATAGTGGCTTATAATAAGATAGAATAGCAATACACAAATAATGAAGCTTTGTTTAACAAGTCCTAAGAGGTCTATTATAACAAATAATATTTGGTAATTTTTTTCTTAATTATTTGTAAATTTAATTGTTTACCATTTTTGAATTCTCAAATGCTTTAAAATTTTCTTTTAACACTTTTTCATCTTTAAATAAAAAATAAAAAATCAATTTGGTAAATTTTTGTTCATTTATTGAAAAAAAATTAAACATATTAATATAATAATACATTATATATATATATATATATATATATATATATATATATCTATATATGCACACATTAGAATTAGACTTCCTTGTTTCTTTTAAAAGTATTATGGTAAAACAACAAAATCCTAAATTTTTATGAAAAAATAGAAATTAATTGCTATATATTTTTTTTAAATCAAATTTTTAATTTTTATTTATGTTTTCTTATTTTTTTCCCCTTTATATTCTTTAAAATCATCACAATAAATAAAACAAAATAAAATACAAGAATGTCATAGTCTTTTGCAAAGTGAACAATACACAATATAGCTAAAGTCCATAGAATATAGATTTTGCTATCAACCCTGGTTTTGAGGCTCTCTTATATCTTTTTCAGTTAATAAACATTCAATTGAAATA